AGCAGGGTGTGTGGTGGTGATGGTACAATGGACTCCAGCAGAGTCTGGTTATAGGGTGTAATAAAGATCCCAGCAGGATCTAAGCTGCCTAGGCAGGCAAAGGGTAACTGCACTAAAGCAGTAATACAAAATAATAAGGTGATAAAATATGATAATAGAAAATAATAATAATAATAATAATAATATTAATAAAATTAATAATATTGGTGACACCACACTATTGGGCTTTAGTATTTCTGGGCCTCACCCAGGATCACAGAGGAGGCCACAAGGCGACCTCTACAAGCAGCACAAAAAAATAGGGCAGCACCCTTAACAGACACAGGGTTATGATCCCTTAAGTGTCTGGATACAGCAGTTTGTATTTTTATGAGGACGGACTGACCTCCAGGAATAAACCGAGCTGTCTCCGGTCGCTGGCTCGCGGAACTGAGCGGGTACTCAAAATGGCGGCCGCAATCTCGCGAGACGCGAGATTGCAAATGGCCGCCGCGAGAATGCCGGCGGGAATGGGAGCCGCGCTCTGTAGATGCGCGGCAACAGAGCCGGCGAGGCGGGTGAAAGGGGGCCAGGAAAGAGGCAAGGTGTCCGACGGAGAAATCCGTCGTGCGGCTGATTTCTACCGCGGGCGGGACATAGGCTATGCGGCCGGGTCTCTCCGCGGGCGGGGGAAAAAGGAAAGTTAGGCGGGAAATCGGGCAGCAAGAGATCACCTCATAAAGAGGTACAACCAGGGGAAAAAACGAGCAGCGCGGTTACCAAGGGGGGGGAGGGGGGGGCGGTGGGGGCCCCAACTACTACACAAAGAAACTACAAAGTGTGTCAGAAGTAAATAATAATCCCTGAGGAAAATATAATAAAGTGTAAATTATAAGTGTATGAGGTAAAGCATGTAGAGAAAGCTGCAAGCTATAAAATAAACTTCAAATTATAGTAACATCCAATAAAAAATCAATAAATTCAATATATATATATACATATACATTTGGAGCCAAAAAAAACTCTGACCTGTCTGCGATGGAGCAGTAAAGAAAGAGGGGGAGGAGCCTAATTGTTGGGTACTTCCTACTCCCTATTGCATTTTTTCATTGGTTAAATGTTTCACTTTCTTTACTGCTGTGGAGTTTAGTAAAGAGAGAAATGCAAAATAGGAAGCCTCCTGTCATGTGATAAAATTGTATTATATTTTCCAAATGATTTAATATTTTTCTCTAAATTCTGAAAATTACATTTTTTAACCTATGAAAATATAAAATATATCATGTATAAAATAATATATCAATATAGCAAAAAATATCAAAACATTACAAAATGAAAATAGTTTTCGTAATATTCAATAATTTTAAAAGTCTATCCAAAAATATTAAATCATTTGGAAAACTTATCCAAGAATATTAAATAGAGGACCTGGTGGTTAAAGGAACACTAAAGCATCAGGAATACAAGCCTGTATACCTAATGCTGTGGTGTACTCCTTATGTAGATTCAGTCCCCCCCCCCCACCATACCCCCCAAATCTAAATAAAAACTGGAATAAAAGTTATTACTTACCTCTTTTTCAGCACTGAGGTCCAGTCCCTGCAGCTGCTCACTCCACCTCCCATGATGTCCCATCGATGCTTCTGAACATCCAATCTAATGCTCCTCTAAGAGAAACATTAGATTGGATGTTTAGAAGGATTGGCATGGGTCTGAAAGGCGCATGCACAGGTAGCACTGCACTTCTCCGAGTTTGACTTGATTCTTATAGCAGATGCACTTCTAATGAAAAGCATTGTTGTATCTAATAAACCTTACATTGCAGGCTAAAAACAAAAGGACAACTGCACCCGGAGAGGAAGTGGTCTAGGTGAGTTTACTGGTCATTTAACACTGCAGTTTAGTAATTAAAACCGTATATTTGTTCGGTGATGAGTCCCCTATTTACTGATCAATACATGCACACAAATTTCATATTGTTTTCTGTTGAAGGGCAAAGCAGGCTAACTGTAACTATGTAGACAGTTTTTAATTAATTAACTGTTTCTATTTCAGCTGTTTCATCTTAAAATGTGAAAATTTAATTCACTGTGAATTCACAACAATTACAGGATTAGTAAATCATTGCATCAGGGTTATCTGCTAAAGTGAGAAATGTGGGGAGTATAAAATTGAAGGCCAAAATATCCGTACTGGAAACATAGCTGACTTGCACATTGTTATCCAGTTTGGCTATTTGGCAACTATCACTTAAATGAACTAGCCTGCGTTTGTGATTTTGCAGCACAAATGGATGTCAGGATTCAAGCAGGCAGTAACTTTTTTCTCTGGTGTTGTGTGAAATCTGTGAGTAGAGAAAGTTATGAAAATGCTAAATGACTGGGTGAAAAAAGATTCAAGGAGTAGATGAGGGTGAGCTTGAGAGATGCATTTTTTAAAAGGGGTTAAACAAGAAAGATTGACACAGTGTCCTACATAATCCAGCACTGGAAAACCCTGTTGGTTAATTTCCTTTGGAGAGATCGGTCATGCATCTCTCCTTTGTCGTTCATCATTCACAATGACTAAATGTATTGTCATGTGATGTCACTGTAACAGAAGACAAAGGGAGCAGTTCGTGACAGATTTGTTTCATTGATGTCATAGATCACTGCTCTTTATGCCAATACATCACACCAGTCATGCCATTCTCTCAGATTTTGATTGCTGAATACACTGATGGTTTTAAAAAAAATTGATATATTAAATATTTTGGTGGGAAAGGGTTAAGTAAAAGTTTTGAGAGATTAAGGATTTATATTCTGTACAATTATATGAATCTAAATATAATTAAGCAAAAAAAAAAATATATATATATATATATTTACAATGTTCATAGTGGAGTTTTTACAGAAAAAAATCAGATCTTGGTTACAACAAAACCTTTGATGAGGCCAATGATGATGTCATCAATAGAGTTGAGCAGACACTTGGATGTTCGGGTCCGGCGGGTTCGGCCGAACTTTGAAAAAAAGTCTGGATTCGTGATCTTACTTGACCCCGAACCTGAACCCCATTGAAGTCAATGGGGACCCAAACTTTTGGCCACAAAAATGCCTCTAAAAAACTCCTGGAAAGGGCTAGAGGGCTGCAAAAGGAAGTAAAATGGGGGTAAGAGTAGGACAAGTACCCTGCAAACAAATGTGGACAGGGAAATCACTTAAAATAACATAAAAATAAAAATACAGCTAAGCCATAAAATAGCACTAGATGGAATCTTTGATTTTAGCTTTGGAAGAACATAAATCAAAATCTAAAGCATAGCTGTCAGGAGGATCACCAGAATTATCCATTTGAGAGAGGGTTGGAGTGCACGGTATTCTCTTTCATTGTTCTAACTGAGCTCAACTCCTGATGCATGGAGAAAAGGCCTTCACAAGACTCTGCTGTTGTGTACATAGTTTATACTAAGTGACTGACCCATAGGTTGAGGAGGCGGTGACCGTGGCGGTGTAGGTGGAAGCAGTGGTGGAGGAGGAGGAGGTAGCCAACACTGTTAATATATATCTATTTTTTATTTTAATCGGGGTAGCCCCCAAAATATTGGGACATACAAAAAAAGAAACATTTGCTGCCTGCGGTGCATTTCTTGCAGTCCTGATGCATAGAGAAATGCTCACCTCCTGATGCATGGAGAAAAGGCCTTCACAAGCCTCTGCTATTGTGTACATAGTTTATACTAAGTGACTGACCCAAAGGTTGAGGAGGCGGTGATGGTGGAAGCGGCGGTGGAGGAGGAGGAGGAGGAAGCCAACACTGTTTATATATATCTATTTTTTATTTTAATCGGGGTAGCCCCCAAAATATTGGGACATACAAAAAAAGAAGCGACTGACCCGTGCTTGCTGCATCTGAAACTCCACTATTGCCTGCTGCTCGCACAGTCTCATGAGGTGGTGAGTGGGAAGGCCAAAGTTACGCTGCAAAGCAGACAGGCGAACAGCAGCAGGGTGAGAACGCCAAAAGTGCGCACAGCCGCTACAGTGAATTGCGGATCAGTCTGGTGATGGATTCTGGTATCCAGTACTCTTTGTACTGAAGCTGCATCAGGGTCCTGGTATGTGGCCGCACAAACGCTGGTGCATGCGTTTACCCTGCGCCAGACTCTGCTAATCCATTCAACACTTTGACTCCGAACTTCTACATCAGGCATACTGGGTCCCGGTCTTCCGACTGACGCCCAGACAGTGTCTGGGTCCCAGTCACCGGACTCGAAACTGTGAATGGCTTGTTAAATCAGTTATGGTTCTCTTAATCGCTTCAACTGTTACTTGTATAACTGTGGGAATTCTAAAGATAATACATGCTGATGAGCGCTAGGGGACGGCTACTCCGCTTTTGCACCCTGCTCCCTCTTATGCTGTGCTGGTGCCTCTGTGCGACCAGCGCCTCTTCCTCCAAACGGCACACGTCACTCGCATGACCTTGATTCCATGTGGGCTCTAGGACCTCATCATCCTCCACATCATGTTCTGCCCACTCCTCAACCCTGCCCTCCTTGCTGGTAGCAGAAAGCAGGCCCCAAAATGTACTATTTAGCAGATTAGCAGCAAAACAATTAGAATGTTTGCAAGTGCGCTGTAAGCACACTATTAGACGCTTCGATTTGACTCTCAGATATGAAGAGCAGGCCCCAAAATGCCTATAGTGGTCCTTTAAAATGATAATTTGAAACCCATATTAATACAGATCTCTCTGCAACTTTTTGGCCAAATTAATTATATCCTGAATGTAACTGCATCTTAAAGCAAATGTAAGAGGAACTAATGGTACTTTTGTACAGTCACGCATATGAAAGATTATAGTTACTGTGTCTGTGTTTTCATTATTGTAATTTATTACTCATGATAAAAAAAAATGTTTTCTTTTAAATGCTAATTCCTTTTTTTATTTAATTTTTTACAGATATCACAAACGTGGGTGTGACACGTCTTGAGTGACAGCATGCCACCGTTTTGTAACTGCGATTTGACGTGGCCAGACTGCTATCCTTTGTTTACCAATTTCAGGATATGATTTAGTGACAAAACCACTTATTCTCCTTTTTCCTTTCACAATGTGTATGAAGTTTCAGTGATTGTAATCTGTAAGAAAATGAGCTGGCGTGCTTGGAAATTGTCCAAACATTCTCATTTTAAATAAGCTTAATTAAGACCCATGCATTGATCTCACGCCAAACTTGTAATATCATGATGACTATTTTATTATTTCAGCTTTATAAATGTAATTATGTAAATTGTGTCTTTTATCTCTTTTGTCAGTTTGAAATAAAAAAAAGAGGCGAGAAGTTTAGCTGTGTTTAAGGACCTGCAATTTTACAGTCAATATGTATTTTCAACAGCTTTGCTATGTGTTTGTGTTGAGTCTACAACTGTTGATGCATAAAGTAGGTTTTCACAAGCAATTATAAAGAACTTATGACATGAAAATGAAATAACAACAAAATAAATAAAGCAAGTAACCAATCTTTGAATACTGGAAGGATGTTTGTATTTTTAGATCTTATCTCTGTGATCGGTGAAGCAAATAGTGATGTGACTCACTGCTCAGACATAGAGTTTTGAGCAGTTTCTCACATAGAAATAGTCCTTTCATACTGACTGCTATGCTTCCTGTAACTTTACTGATACACTAAATGAACTGACGGTCAGCAGGTAATTGAACCTGTATATATATTTATTTATAAAATATTTTACCAGGAAGGATACATTGAGATTTCTCTTGTTTTCAAATATGTCCTGGGTCCACAAAACATTGCATTGATACATTAGGGTACAATAAAATACAAAAACAATATTAATACACAATATATACAAAATTTAACATAGAACAGGTAGGAAATATATATCCAACCATGACAGGTGCATTCTGTTTTGATGTATGTAGAAAGGGATCTCTTAAAGGATTTTAGGCTTGGGGAAGATTTGAAAGTGTGCGTGAGGTCGTTCCATAATTGAGGCGCTCTGTAGGAAAAGGAGGAATGAGCCGCTTTCTTTTTGTATTGAGGTAGGGTAAATAAAGTGCTGGTCCTGGATCCGAGGTGGGAACAGCCGGGGAGAGCAATCTGCTCAGGTAGGGTGGAAGCTTCCCAGAAAAGCTCTTAAACGCAAGGCTTGAAAGATGAAAGGTGCTTCTGGATTCCAGCAACAACCAGTTTAGTACTTTTAGCATGTCACACACACACACACACACACACACATATATATATATATATATATATATATATATATATAGTGGCACTCACCCTTTCATGTAGTATATATAAAAAAAATGCCTCTGTGCAATCCCACGCTGGGTATCAATATAAAGTAAGAAAGAGATGCACTCTGTGGTCTTTTGAAAATAATCATTAGAATTTAATATCCAACATAGTTAGATGTCCGATCGACGTTTCGACCTCTACAGGTCTTCCTCAGTGGGGAAGACCTGTAGAGGTCGAAACGTCGATCGAACATCTAACTATGTTGGATATTAAATTCTAATGATTATTTTCAAAAGACCACAGAGTGCATCTCTTTCTTACTTTATATATATATATATATATATATATATATATATACACACACACTGCATATTTCATTCATTTTAAGTCTGAATAGATGTGTGGTAAGCTTAACATACTATTTAGAGTTTGTTCTAAAAAAATCTCACAGATTATACATGAGATTAAAGATTTATGTTTTTGGCATTTTTGTTGCACAAAGTTTTCAACTTTATGGTTTGTCCATGACTATTGCTGTTTGACTTTCACTAGTTTATCACTACTAAGAAAAGTCTGCGGAGTAATTCATGCTTTACATGAGTAATGCACAACTTTTGCATGAAAAATTCATAGAAAATGCGCAGAATAAAATTAGGTTGCACTTTTGATGAATATTTTGCATGGTACTGAACAGGGCTGGACTGGGGATTCCAAAGCAGCCCTGGAAAAAAAATCTATGCCAGCCCCATAAGTCATTGCGCCATATATTGTCACATGTAATATGTAAGGCTATGTCTTGCCACCCTAGATGATTGAGATATATATATATATATATATATATATATATATATAGCTTTTTCCAATATAAAATATTGGTCCTTTCAGAGCAAAATTTTTAATTACACAGTAAGCATACTCACATGCAGACACAGACAATCTCACTGACACAAGCTAATTGATACACAGCCTCATAGACTAACAATCTCACTGATATACATAAGGTCATTGACATAAAAACACAAGCTCACTCAGTAGCAGGCACACACACACACAGTTTAATGCGTAGTGGTTCTGGTGTCAATAGCCTGTCCCTGCAGGCTTTTCAATGTAAACACTGATTTTTTAGAGAAAAGGCAGTGTTTACATTGCATCCTAGTGACAGACACTCAGACGGTCACGAGAGGTGCTTCCTATGTCAGTGCGGATTAGCTGAGATCACCAGCACGACGTGGGTGAAAAAAAAAGGTGAGTAAAAACACATATACACACACATACCATGACAGACACATACCATGATACAGACAGACTGTGACACAACACACACACACCGTGACACAGAAACACCATGACAGACAGACACACACACCATGACACAGACAGATACACACACACCATGACATAAACACACACCATAACACAGACAGACCGTGACATAGACAGACCGTGACACAGACACACCCACACCGTGACACAGAGAGACCGTGACACAGACACACAAACATTACATGACACAGACAGACACACACACATACCATGACATACAGACACACACACACCATGACAAACACACACAACATGACAAACACACACACACACACCATGACACAGACAGACCATGACATAGACAGACACACATTACATGACAGACACACACACACACAATGGCACAGACACACATTGCACGACACAGACAGACACACACACCATGACAGACAGAGACACACACACACACCATGGCACAGACAGAAACACAGACACACCATGACAGACAGACACACACACCATGACACAGACAGACACACACACCATGACAGACAGAGACACACACACACACACACACACACACAATGACAGACAGACACCATGACACAGACAGACACACACACACACCATGACAGACAGAGACACACACAATTACACAGACAGACACACACACACTATGACACAGACACACACACATACACTCACACTGACACACAATTGCTACCTGTGTGCTGGCGGCCGCAGGGGGAGCTCTGATGGCGGCCGCATGGGGGAGCTGGATCTTCTGGCGGCCGCAGAGGGAGCTGGCTGTTCTGTCTATGCTCCCCAGCCCGCGGCTTAATGAGACCGGCCCCGCCAGAAGACCCAGCTGCCTGCCCAGCCCCAGGTGCCCAATTTCCCGGTATCCCGGTGGGCCAGTCCGGTCCTGGTACTGAAAACAAAATGACTGAATCTAATTGCCATTTTCTTGCAAAAGCATGTACTTAACTTTTGCACATTCTGTGCATGGTCTGAAATTTCCCCGAACATAGATGAACGGAGCAGAGCAGAAAATCTCTCAAATTCCCACGACGCTAACCACTACTTAACAAATGCTTTTTGATTGGTTTTCAATCTTGTTGCTACTTATTAACAACTGCCCTTAAACTAGGAAAACTTAACACCAACCTCTGGTCTGACGTAAAAACCTTAACAGCAGCTAAATCCCTATATATTCTATAAAAATCTTCTTCTTCCAACCATGCTGCTAATATTACTTGCCAGTCTTTACTTGCCTGTCACTTCTAGCCACACACCGTGAGGTGCACATGCTCAGAAGTGTTTCTGGGCTTTACCAATAAGATGCTAATATGCAAGTGGTTTATATCTGTAATGGCAGGACCCATATTATAACACATTTTTCTGCAACCTATTGGCCCGATTCTTATATCCTGAACTTGTAGCCACTACAGTCTACTGGCTCTTGCTAATAGTGATAATTTACTGTTTTACACTTCCCCATACTAGGCCGAAAGTTTTGTGTTGTATCAGTCTAGTCTCACTGCACTAAAGTGTGTATTGCTGGAAGAGTAAATTGGATTCAAAATAAATCTTAAATTCTAAGCCAGAATAACAATATCCATTACGCACCTAGCTGTGTAACTTGGGTGGGTGGATATACACGCTCCAAATGAAAGCATATTATCTCAAAAGATAATGAGCTTTGAAATGTAAAATTGTAGGATTAAGGTTCTTGCACTATAACTACTTCAGTGGGGTGAAGTGATTTTCTCATTTAAAGTGACTCTTTAACATTCTAAATCATAGATGAACATATCCCATTAGAATTGATTTTAGGATACTGCAAGGGTTTCTGGGAAATAGTACTCCTGTTAAACTATAACACAACCTATCATGGTTTGAGAACTTATAGATAATTACGAGCATAAGATGTTGAAAAATATGTGAAAATGTGTGAAATTTGTCCTGTTATATGGAATAAATATATGGCTCTGTGAACAGGCAGGTCAAGTGGTAATGTGATGTCCTTAATACTTGTTATAACATTATTAATTAGTCAGTTTTTTTGACTCAGAAAAATCCCTTAACTCCCTAAAATGTACAAGCTCGAATTAAATGTTTTGGTTTGTAAAACAAGGGATTTAATTACACCTTTTCTTGTTTGCATTTTTTGTCCTGCAAATGCATTTCCCTTTTATCATTATAGCTTTACGCTTCTTAGTTTGTATTGTAGGATTTTTATACTTTACTATGAAAGATTTGGGTTTCATGAATCTGCTGTACAAGTTCTGATTCTGCTTATTCTGATTTTAAAGAGAAGCTCTTTTATTATGATTTAAAGTGATTTGAAAGTTGACGAGGATTAGAAATCAATACAAACCTTACCATACTTTTGTACGTTGTGTTGCTTCTTCTTTTCATCTGAAGTTCCATTGAATATCCCAGTAATATATATCCAATCTTTAACCAATAGCACTTTTGGACCAGAATAAGTATTCATTGTTTCCCAGAACCAGCTATTCAATTGTCAGTAAGCCACCTGCTTGCCTGGAATGAAGATGAACATCGTGTAAAGCACAACAACTGCATTATTTGTTATAAAACATAAAATTTGTCTCTTTATTTGATGTAATTGCTACAAGCAGCTGCACAATGGCAAACACTGTTGCAAATTTTGCATAGAGCAGGGTTTTCTATTGTAATTGGATTAAAAGCCAATGAGGCTGATATGCTATGTCATGAGTTTTCTCTTTCCATTGAATGGCACCGAAATAATACATTAATCAGGATCAATGTATATTGTGTTGAATGTATA